TCAGCACGTAAGCTATCATACTGCCCTCCATGGATTAATAAGGAAACCCGGAAGCTGTTAAAGCGTAGGAAACATTTCTGGGACTTATTCTTGTTGACAGGTCATGCACCATTTAAGCGTGAGTACCAAAAATTCCGTAATATCTGTAAGAAAACCATAGCCAAATCCCGTACCACTTACGAACGACAGTTAGTATATGATAGCCGTACTTGTCCGAAACGATTGTTTTCGTATGTTAAACGGCGAATGAAACGTAGTGATGGTATTCCCCCGTTACTGTTACACGAAAATTCAGAATTACTGGATGAATCAGATCGAGCAAAAGCTGAGACTTTTTCAAACTATTTTAGCGAAGTCTTCTCTACGTTTATTGTAACAAATACTTGTCCCACTCACACCGAGATACCAACCATTGAACCTGTACAGGTGACTGAGGAAACTGTCCTTCCGTTGATAACTAACCTCAAACCTGGTAAGATACCGGGCCCTGACGGGTTACATCCACGGTTGCTGTCATCTCTTGCGGACATTATTTCAAAACCGCTTGCGACACTCTTCAACATGTCCCTCTCACTCGCTCAACTCCCTAGAGATTGGAAGGACGCTATAGTTAGTCCTATATTTAAGGACGGTCAGAGACAGATAGTATCTAACTACCGGCCTGTCAGTCTAACTAGCATAGTCGTTAAGTTACTCGAAAAGATAATTCGGGTTAGGTTGCTAAGCCACATAGATTTACACAATCTGTTAGCTCCTGAGCAACACGGATTTCGTAACAAGCGTTCATGCTTGACTAACTTGCTTATTGCGAGGGAGGATTGGACAGCAGCCCTAGATCACGGTCTGTCTGTCGATGTGATATTCATAGATTTTAGCAAAGCGTTTGACAAGGTTTCACACGTAGGTCTTATGCAGAAGCTCACGAGCTTCGGAATAATAGGTACTGTACATGAGTGGATAGGAAATTTCTTATGTGACCGCAGACAGAGAGTGAGGGTCAACGGAACGCTATCCGATTGGAAGCCGGTCAAAAGTGGTGTACCCCAAGGCACCATCTTAGGCCCTCTGCTCTTCCTTCTCTACGTTAATGAGTTACCGCTGTTACTTAGGTCGTCGACATTATTGTTTGCGGATGATGTAAAAATCTGGAGAACAATAAAAAGTGCGGCTGATCATGTGGATCTTCAAGCTGACTTAGACGATTTAGTTAGATGGGCTCGAGAGTGGGGCTTAGAAATCAATGCTAGGAAGAGTGTACTAATGCACATCGGTCACGGTAATAGTTACCGTTACACTATTGAGGGTAAACCTCTTCCATGCGTTCAAGAGCATAAAGACTTAGGAGTTATATTAAGTCATGATTTAAAAACAACTACGCATTGCAAAGCAGCCGCTGTCAAAGGTTTTCGTGCGTTATGGTCACTTCGCCGAGCGTTCAAATCTTTTGACGAGGAAACGTTTCGAATTTTATATCCCACCTATGTAAGACCACATTTAGAGTACTGTATCCAAGCAGCTAGCCCGTGTCTGGTAAAGGATACTAACTCCCTTGAGCGTGTCCAGCGTGTGGGAACGAAATTAGTGAAGGGTCTTTCTAGACTCCCTTACGATGAGCGCTTAAAACGCCTAAATCTTTTCCCCTTGTCGTATCGTAGGACACGAGGTGACCTTATACTGGCATTTCGTATCTTTAATTATGATTTGGGTGTTAATATGTCTTATCTTTTTGCTCCCTCCAGCACTAATAATCTCCGAGGTCATAGCAAGAAGGTTCATAAACCACGATCTAATAAACTTAAAGTGGGGTCCCGTTTTTCTCATCGAGTAGTCAATGATTGGAACGCCTTACCCGAACAAGTGGTATCAGCCCCATCAGTGAATACTTTCAAGGAGAAGCTGGACCTTCAGTGGAAAGCAGTGTGTCAGGATTAATACAGGTTCATCAACCTACTATCCTTATTACTGAAGACTTCACTTAACCTTAACCCATTGGAGTATAGACGTCTTGGAGGTGATCTTCTGATGGCTTGTAGTATCCTTAACACTTCTGGATATCCTCTCAAACACCTACTTAAGCTTAGTTCCAGCAGTAACCTAAGAGGTAACACCCAAAAGCTGGAGACACAACATAGCAGAACGGACTGTAGACACAACTTCTACTCCTTAAGAGTTGTCAAATGCTGGAATTCGCTGCCGAGCGAGCTAGTCCAAGGAACTTTCCAGGAGTCCTTTAAGAGGCAACTTGATCTATTCTTAAGGACTAAGGATAGTATCACACTATGATTTACTAATTTCTTTTCCTCTTTTATTGTTAACATACCTAGGTTCCTGCCTGGAGGATTTGGTGATCCCCTGCTACTAGACACGGAAGCATGTTAAGCGAAAGCTTCTTCTATTCCGTCCACAACCATTTGAACCATTTGACTGAAGACTGAAGTAAGTGGCATATTCAAACGTGGTGCGTCACATATATTCGTCTACAAATTTCCACTAAATACTCTATATAAGGAGGAAAACTGTTATCTTCCTAAAAATCGACTTTGCCCTTTTATTTACACTATCGTCCCATTCATTTCCCGGAATGCGCCTTTATGTCCGCTAAATTGGTTTCTTGGGTATTCATTTTTAGCAATAACTTTATCATTATTTTGGAATTCATATATTTGGTCCACCACAGAATCCTATAAAAATACATTATACGATCAGAGTGAAGTCCTAAGTGATAATTACACTATTCTATGTAGCTTTAGCCCCCGTAAATGACCGAAAAATTCTCGAAAATTATAGATATTTCTATTGAACGCTGGAATATGGAGTCAGCCGTGAACAAGACCACTCAGGGGCAATAGTACAAAGGAAAAGGAATGTAACACGTTTGAAGCCCAGCACGCGCTTCGATCATCGGATTTCCTTAATCTCACGCTTGTTATTTTTGTTTGTTGTCGATTGCTTTCGTTATCAAATATTAGCGTATTCTGTGTGCTTGCTGAGTCGTCGGCTCCCTTTACCTTCCCAGATAGCCTAATTTAATGCTCCGACACACTAGATGCCTTCTGGCTAAACTCAATCCTAATATAGACTGGACATTACAAGAACGCCTGAAGCTGTGTTACCATTTTCCTGTGCTTCAGAAGGCATGGTTTTTATTAGAAGCTGCACCGTGCGAGTAAAGCTTGACTTTAAGGACTATCCAGTGGTTGGTGTGCATATGCATTCGCGGTAGCAACGGCCCAGGGAACGATTTATGGGCCAGTCTTGTTCCTTCTGTATGTAAAAGACTTTTCTAGTCTCCTATCGTCGTCAATTTTGTTATATGTTAACAATATCTAGATATAAAGAGCAATAAAAAGCGTTGATTGTCCAAATTACCTGGAGAAATCTGTATGGTTTGGAATCTAGCAGTTACCGATAAATTTATGTACTTGGAAGCATCAATTCCTCCAAATGCATTATGATGCATATTGGTCATTAAGATAGTTACATACATTGTAAATAACATTGAGTTATTTATCTTCCAAACATAGTGACCAAGAAGTCATCGTTATCCAAGATTTGAAAACTACTGCACACTGTCGTGCGATAGCCGCTCAAGTTTTCGGACCCTTATGTTAATACCTAGAGCTTTTAGTCGTATCGATTCTAAGACCTTTTTGACTTCCTAGACAGCGTTCCTTCGCCCCAGACTCGGGTATTTCATACAAGCAACCAGCTCCTGAATAAAAAGACGAGTTGTTGGAGAAGGTTCAGAGGACGGCAACTAAGTTGGTCCTTGAAATCAAAATGCTGCTGTATGACGAGAGACTGAATAAAATTTCCTTGTCGTGTAGAAGTGATAAATTTTCATCTGACACAACCTCATTTTTCCTGTCTTCCAAAACAATTTACGAGGACATCCTAAAAAGGTTCACAAGCTCAGAACAAAAATTTCTGTTAGCTGATTGTCGACTTTCTCATCGAATCATCAACAAATAGAATTCATTAACTCGTTGCGTAATCGGAGCCTCATATGTCGACCCATTCAAAGGAGTGTTGGATTAACTGAGAGATCACAGTTACCATTACTAATATAGGTCACCCAGTTTTCCGTCCCATCCAAACCGAAACTGATGTGTTAAAGCAGCACTTCATCAGCATCCCAATAATGAAATTGATGGTCTCACTGAGGAACTGTTGCTCATCAACTGTGTTTATAATAATTTGACTCCGAAAAAAGTTTTGATTCTTTCTAATGATGAATGCATCATTAAGAACTTAAGTTTTGGGTTGGCCTTAGGATTATGATATAAAATATAGGATTTATAATCAAAGTTTGTACTCGACGTTATGGTATATAGTTAAAGTATAGCGTTTGGATTCTGTTTCACATCCTAGTTCTTAACCATAATCCTGGTCTTGATATTATAAATCCTTCATTTTTATATTCTGCTCTTAGGTTGACTGTATGGGCTCAGAGCCTGTCAAAATCATTTAAAGGGTCTCTCATGCTTGCCCTTATAGTTCAGTTGTATTTTGTGGTGGAGTGATAGACGGGAACAGATATATTTACCAAGCCATACTATCGACATATATGTAGTGGTTAGCTGCTCATGGTCAGTTTATTCACTTTAACTCCGGGTTATATTGCTAATACAGTATTTAAATTCAAAGCTAAGTGTTTAAGTCATCTACATCAAACGCCAACACTCCAAGGTCCTGGTATGACGTTTTTGTTGAAACCACTCAATGGTTTTTGGGTCACTGTAGCAAAAAACTTAATTCTATTCCGTCGGTTTATCATTTTATCTATTAGCTACATGCATAATAGTAAAACACTTGTAACCTATTCACCAATTCCTCTCCTTCAGGTGCTCTTTCATCATTCTCAACCAGTTATCTTGTTCAGTTGTGCATACTACCCAAGCGCCGTTTCGGCGCATGTTTTTTTGTGCCAAACTTTGCTTTTAGTTCACGGTAAGATAGCATTTTAAAAGATAATCTGACTAAGGCTGTTTTTACTCCATATGTTTGGGCAGTCATGTTACTTTAGCTCACTTCGCCAGCTTCCTGTTATTGCTATTTGTGGAGCTACTGGGACTGGGAAATCGAAACTAGCAGTAAGCCTCGCCAATGTTTTCGGAGGTGAGGTCGTCAATTTCGATGCTCTTCAATTGTATAGTGGGATAGATATTGCAACAAACAAGGTGAGTTATAGCTTTGTTAGATTTTCTTCATTTTGAATTTCAGGGAGTCACTGATAATATCGTGGTGTAAGTCTTGTGCCTTGAAGAATTTTCCTGCTTTAGTAATGATTCAGTAGGGCAGCATTTCCAGTCATGTGTACTGTCAGAGAGATGGGGTTATCATGCAGAATAACCGATGTAATTATTCGGTGACTTTGTGTTGGGGATTTTAATTCAGTGGTTAAATTCATGATCTATTCATGTGATTCCCCTGTTGATCAGTGGAATAGGTTTTAATTTGAATACATTAAAAGTGTGTATAAAATTGGTGTAAATCACTCAACAGTTTCAGCATTGTGTCTTTGAATTAATTCTTATATTTGAATTCTACCTCACTGACGTGGTTTGAACTTCTGAGTTATGTCTTTCACCATCAAACAAGAAGCGGGGCTCTAACTGCAGTAAATAATCATACAATTCGTTATTAAGCTTACGAATTACAGAATTAACATTCGTATAATGTAGGTATGTAGCAGTGACCATTTCGTACGTAATCAATTACTAGTTTCTTTGCTAACAGAAATGTCGTATGAAGCTTTTTTGTTCTAGATACTTAAGTCTCTAGGTTCCTACTACTGTGCCAAGACCAGTTTCATATGTGCAACTTGAAACAAAAGTGTGGCTGTATTCAGTTATCGATATACAATATAGGTTTCATATCTTCACCGTTTACTAGCATTCATTGACTGAAAGGGTTCGCGGTAAATCAAGTAAGGAAACGTAACCAACTAAATCATCGCTTTATTCGGGATTATAGACTCATTTTCAGACACGCTTTTAAAAAACTTTATATTAATCAGACATCTAGTTAGAGTTGAACATTATATTTGTTTCCAGAGACCAAATCTGATATCAGTGGATGTAATATCTAATTATTTTCATTTATTTATTTCAATACAAACATTGGTGCAAGGGGGCACTGAATACATATGCGCCACAAAATAACCATGAGGTTGTGAAGACATAAAGGATGTGAAGTGCGTATAATAAAAAAGAAGAACAATGAACAGGAATTAACACGAATGCAATCAATGTAGGAAGGATTTGAATGTGACCAACTTGTTCTCGTGTGCTGTTACGGGTATGAGGGCTGATATCACTTCCCGGCTGCCCACACCGTGGAAGGGTATTTCTTGAGGAACTTGAAAAGGAAATTTGATTAGTGTTGGTCTTAACGACCTGGGAGCGTGACCGCAGTGCCCAAGGGACAACTGCTTGAGGCCGGTCGCGCACGGCCTTTTGGTGGAAGGATTTTAACGTGTTAGCTCCGTTCTTCAAAGGGCCTTACCGCCGGAGACGGAAATCCGTGAGGTAAGGTGAGGTGTGACATTTTTGGGGTCGACCTTTTCTAACCCCACCCCTCCTTGTGGGAAGGCAGCATCGCTGTCATGCTGGTTGTCCGAGGGAAACACCTTACTGCTGTCACACCCCTCCACAGTCAGCAGTACGACTTCGCCCTCAGACCTTGAGTTGCTGCCTTTAGTCTCACCGTTCTCCAATCGACCTGCCTGGCATGGTAGAACCAACGGGAACATATGTTCCAGCCAATATAGCTCGATTGGGTCATCACGATAGGCAAGCCCGACCACCGCGTCAAGGTAGCAGCTTCGGTCGGGAACGAATGCAATAGTAATGATAATAATGAGAGAAACAGTTCAGTTAGAAGAATATAACCCAGAAAAGTTCTTTCAGTTAAAAAAGCTACGTTCACTTTTATGGAGAAAGTACAAAAAATCATAGCAGGATCTCTACTGGCTTCTATGTCATGTCTGATAACGTCTCTAGCCATTGAGTTGTACCATTTCTAGGACCACAACCAGAGAGTCGTGAAGGACCAACAGAATCCAGTCCTGTCCGGCTTTCTCACATACCACGGCACCATGTCATACACTGACTACCTCTCCGCTTTTTCCAACCTGTCCCAGCGTCGGCAAGTAATGCGAGATATGGAATTCGCCGGAACGACATTTGTAGGTCATGTTCAAACCATCGAAGTCGATGTTTCAAGATGGTGACACCAACTGAATTCTCGTCGCTCTGTCAGAACGTTAGCGGACCTGTGCATTACTAACGTAGGCTTGCGACTGGATGCTAGCAATCCTCCGGAGACAACGATGACTAGACACAGAGAGATACTTAACATCCTCAACTTGGAGAAGCCAAGTATCACAAGCATGGAGCAAAACTGCTTTCATCTAATACACATTTCGATCCAAAATTTATTTTCATTCTTTGGAAAATTAGATTTTTTTTGACAGGCCGTTTATAAGAACAAGGCTATTTAATTGGTGCTCTTTTTTAATTTCCATTCTAGATATCACATGTTGAGTGTTTAGGCGTCCCACACCATCTTATAGGGATCTATCCTCCAGAATTGGGACATAGATATGATGTTCATTCATATCGAGACATCTGTTTACCGCTGATTGAAAATATAAGAAATATCAGGAAAAAATTACCTATTCTTGTTGGTGGGACTCATTATTATTTGGAGGCTATTTTATGGCAAGATTTTCTAGCTTCGAAACGTACTATTTTCGATGCAACAAGTGAATTTGATAGGTATCTTAATCTGTTAATTACACTGGTAATTATATTCGTCAATTTCTTTCAAATTTAGCATATATTCTTTACTGGATATCCTTGGTTTTTATCTATTTTTAGACAGTGCATTTTTGAAAATGATAAGACATTTCAGATTAAAATGTACAAATTTGGATAGTGTAATATGAAGACGAAGATTATCCGAACTATGTGGTATATTAGCGCAAAACATTCCGAACAGTCTGAGCACATGTATACTAGTTAAGAACATTCTTCTTACATTTCATTTATCTAGTTGACCTTTTTTGCATATAAATGCTTTTAAAAAGTATGGGTGTTATCACATTGTTCGAAATGTATTGCGCTGATATATTACATAGTTCTGATAATCCAAATTTGTCAAGGGGACTAATTGAAAATTGATAGTTTGAGGTATTCGTAAGTATTTTTCATTTTACAATCCTTTCATCTACTTCATAAAATTCAATGTAAGCAGATAGTGACTAATGCTATAGTGTACTTCCTAACTCCAACTAAAACTTGCATTCGGATTGTACACTATGGTCACCAAGCAAGATGATTTGATGTGGCGATTGATTGTTTTGTATCGGGAGTTAGGAGGAGTTAGCTTCACTTAAATCGTTCATGGGACTAGTAAATGGTTGTAAACATCTCTAACCAACGGAATAAAATGTTAGGGTTTGAACTCTTAAAGTAACATTTTCTTTTGGAATTAGAGAGTCATCCCTTTAAATGACCTGGTGTGGCCGAGGGTGGGGAGAGTCTGCCCCCCTCTCAAAATGCTCTAACATGGCCACGTGTATACAGCCACTGACAAGGAAGTCCTACCCACTGTCTTCTCGTCGCAGGGGTGTTGTTTACGAAATTGAGAGGACGAAAAGCGAATGTCCGGTACTTTAACCGGGTTGGTGGATATGAAGGATCGATGTACGGGAGTTGAAAAACTCTGATTCCGAACCAATCGTGAACATGGGCTCCAGGATCCTGAGGGAGAAAATGATGTGTGAACCTATTGTTGATCACCAGCTACCACGGGACTGCATCTCCTTACGTTACTCCACTGCTTTGTGGATCAAACCTTTAGATCGAAGTCTCCGGGTGTGGCCCCCTAAGAGAACCACTTGCTTCGGTTTGGGCAACCGGGCAGTATTCCAGCCCACACACAAATCGAATGATGAAGTGTGGCGCATATATATTGTGTGCCTTTTTATGTGTTTAAATAAATAACAGTTTCTTTCTGAATTAAAAAAATCATATAAATAAATATATGGAGCCCTGATTTAGTGTTTATTTTCTGTTGCTTTTAATCATTTACTAGATAAAGGTCTCACTTTAATGAATGTTTTGTGATTTGATGAACGGGTTTTGTGTTGTTAAAATAAATTAATGGAATTCCGACCAACAGATGAACATGATGATACATTGTTGGTAATTGATAACTGCTAATGAGACTGGTTGCTTTAAGCCTTGTTTGAACAGATAACTGAGGAGAACATAGCTATCCTGCAGAATACATATCTTAGTAAAATGACCTGCTTATACTCAGATATCAACAGAAGAATAAACATGAATAAATATCTTTAGGGATTGAAGAAAATTAATTCTTTTATGTCACTTACTGTTCTATGATTTAAGATTTTTTCATCATACCTGACATGTAGTTCGTAACCATCCTTAGAGGGTTTCGCACTCAGTGTATGCTATTTCATCATCTTTTGTCACATGGTGTTTAAATGTTAAGTCTAATTCACTTTTGAATGTAAATAGAGAAACAAAAGTATAATCCTTTTAATTGAATGCCACGTTATCCAGTTATTACGTTCAAGCAATGAAAACTGGGCAGATGGACAGTCTTACAACAACTGTGAATTAATACAACTTCGTAATGGAACTCATTGACCGAGTTCAGATTCATGTAGTCTGCTCAAAATTGCATATTTTGTGTGACATCTTGGACTAAAGTAACCGGAGTTAGGTTCAAACCTGAAATCCAATGATCAAAAGTGAAAGGTTTTACCTACCAAACTACGGTGTTGCTACATTCACAGCTGTATAATTAAAGAAAATCAACCAGAAAAAAATGAAAGAGGTTAAAACAATATTGGGAAAAATCTGAAAGAATGGATAGAGTCAATCATAATGATAATGGTACATTTAAAGGCTTAGATGGTAATGAATAAACGCGTTTGGTGCAGTTCGATCTTTTTTTAATCGTATTATTAAGTCTCCTTTTTTTGAATCATAAGTTCAAGTCCATTCCTCAGATTTCGTTTTATGAAGAGATAGATCCTAGTCCCGACGATGGGTGGATTTTGTTTTCACATTAAGGTTTAGTTAGTTATTCTTAATCATTTGTTTTTGTTGTAAATGTATGTGTAAAATTGCATCATTGTTCATTTTTTGTCAGTTTCTTACTTGAATAAGCTTTTCTGAAATCACATGGTTTAAATATTCATTTGTCTAATTCCACAGTATATTGTGCTTTTGAATGAGTAATCGCAATAGCGTCTTCATTATTTTCTAATGTTAACTGTAACTCAGTGAATAGGATCATCTAATTGTTTGCTCAAATACTATTTATTATTTTGAAAGTTAGTGTTTTGTAATTGTCTGAACTATAGAATAAATTATATTTTATCCTTTTCGTATTTTCAATGTTTCAGTGAAGTTTCTTTTGGGCATCCATTAGAATGCTATGATCTTTTGCGTACTCTGAAACCAGATGTAGCCGCACAATTGCATCCGAATAATGTTCGTAAAGTAAAGAGAGCACTTCTCGATGTTCTGAAAGGATCTATTCAGACTAAAACACAAACTGAATTGAATGAAAATATAGAAAATGTAGATTTGGGAAAACAAGTGTTAAATCGATCTATTAAACCTCGATATCCTGGAGAGTCGCTCATATTATGGCTGGACTGTGCTTCCGATGTTTTGTATACTCAATTGAATAAGCGAGTGAATAGAATGTTGGATTCCGGGTTAGTTGATGAATTGGACACTTTTCTTGACAAGGTGAATGTTTTACCAGATAGATTCAGTGAGACTGAAACATATGATACGCCAGGTAAGAAAAAGTCTTTTGGACATATGTTTTTATATTTGATTGCTAATGGTATGGATTATCCCGCTGCTGATATTTTGTTTGAAATTTGATCAATCTTAGTTGGCATATGTGAATTATGTGCAGATTGCCTCGATATAGCCAATATGACACATTTATCTAGGATATTCAAAAATAAAGAATATTTGAGTGAACATTTGTTTTCAATAACTTGATCATCAGGCTCTGCAGTTGTAAATCCATAATTATAATATTGAGTAAAGCCATTAATAATAATAATATTTTGCAAGGGCAAAAATAAGTCAAGGCATCCATTAATGAATTTGACAATGTTATATGTTAAAAATGGTGAACGCTTTCATCTGTCATGACATATATAATTCAAAATTGTATTACTTATAAACTAGAAAGGTCATTTAATAAAAATCAGAATGATTTGGCGTAAAGTAGCAAGTTATAATGAATATAATAGTAACATAATAAAGTAAAAAATCGTATAAATAAAATGCGTAGTATGAGAATTGCACCTCGTTAATAGAAGTAATAATAATAACAGTAATAATATCATTATGTGAATATAATATGTAATAAGAGGTGTGTTATCTAGGTAATTACGGTAAAAAATAATTCATGTACATCGAGAAAGATGGGTGTTCAGAATAAGAAAGATGTAAACACAGAAGGAATTGGGAGGGGATAAGAGGTTTATAATATTCAGTTTAGGTATCAGGTGATCCAGTCGTAGGCCAGGGTAAACATAGAGGCTGCATATACTCCTTCTGGATACATAAGTTTGATTTTCTGGAGTTGATCCAGATGGTTTCAGTTATGTATAGTGGCCGTAATGTAGCTCCTTGAGTTAAATTCTTCGGAACTTGGTGTTAAACAGAGAAGGCTTCATCTATTTTGATATCATGTTCACTATCTCCCAAGTGAGAAAGAATGGTACTGTTAATAGACTTAGTGATTTGTTTTTCCGAACCACGCTGGTACATGTTCACGAACACGCAAGAATAAAGCCCTCTGAGTTCGGCCTATGTAACTAGCTCCATATGGGCAGTTGAATTGGTATACACACATAGAGGAGCCCATCATCAGTAACTTACCCTTGATTTGTTGTGTAAGTACTGGTTTGGTTGGAAAAATTACGTGTAACTCGGAGGCGTGAATTGTCCTTTCAACAGATATCTATCTATTAATAGATAGATGCACTGAAGAACACAACGAAATAACAGCTATCCACGGAATACAATGGACGGCAGCATTCCTACAACTGAACAACATATGGAACTCAAAACAACTGTTAATCAATATCAAAGTGAGAATCTTCAATACGAACGTCAAGGCATTTCTACTGTGCAAAGCTGAAACGGAGAATTACCACAACCATCGTCAAGCATGTACAAGTATTTATAAATAGTTGTCTACACAAGATACTAAATGTCCGGTGACTGGATACCATCAGCAGTAGCCTACTACAGTAGAGAACAAAGCAGTTTCTAGCTGAAGAGAAAATTAGGAAACATGCTGGAAGTGGATAGGACATACATTACAGAAACTATCAAACTGCATCTCGAGGTAATTGTTAACTTGAAATTTCAAACGGAAACGGAAAAGAGGAAGGCCGAAGAACACATTGCGTCGGGAATCGGAAGCAGACATAAAAAAGATGAATAACAACTGGGAAGGATTGTCCAGGATAGAGTTGAATGGAGAATGCTGGTGGGAGGTCTATGTCCCTCCACGGGGGTAACAGGCGTGAGTAGGTAAGATAATCTTATCAGAAAATTCCTATCAGAAGGTATTAAAAAAGAAGAAACTGTGACTCAGTCGGTAGAAAAACCCTTTATCTGGAACTGGGTGACATTTTAAGACGTCCACTCAAAAGATGCTATATATCCGTTAACCAAGTATATTTACCACTGTTATATTAGGTTTAGTTTTTTTCTACAGTATTTCGATTTTTTGAGCGTTCTTATTAAATAAAAACCATTACTGTTTCAGAGATATTTTCTCAACTACTCTAAATAGATTACCATTGCCAGCTTTATTGATAAGTAATTAATGTGAAATGACTTAAGTAGGATTAGATTACGTTGAATGCTTTTGATCGAGAGCTAAATACTACACACTTTCGGGAGTGAGAGAGAGAGGGGGTGAAAGCTAGCATGAATTTAGTATGGGTTCGAACTTTTTGCTTCTGAATTATTGATGTAGTGTTGTACCGGCTAATCGACTAGAATAAGCTACTCTGAACCGCAAGTTTGCTTGAATTTTTTTATCTTTTGACTGAAAACGTTCGAACCTTAATATTGTCAAATTATGACCTTATGTATCCTTAATAACAAGGGTAATGCATGCATCAGGATGTTTCCGATTAACGTTCAGTACAAAGTATCTGTATGCTATTTATTTATATATTTGTGCACATAATTATTGGTACAATGGGGCACTAAGTACATATGCACCACAAAATAACAGTGAGGCTAGTAACAGTTTTCATTGGTTTTTGTGAGGGCTGTGATACTGCCCGGTTGCCCAAACCGAGGCAGGTGGTTCTCTTAGGGGGCCACACCCGGAGACTTCGATCTAAAGGTTTGATCCACAAAGCAGTGGAGTAACGTAAGGAGATGCAGTCCCGTGGTAGCTGGTGATCAACAATAGGTTCACACATCATTTTCTCCCTCAGGATCCTGGAGCCCATGTTCACGATTGGTTCGGAATCAGAGTTTTTCAACTCCCGTACATCGATCCTTCATATCCACCAACCCGGTTAAAGTACCGGACATTCGCTTTTCGTCCTCTCAATTTCGTAAACAACACCCCTGCGACGAGAAGACAGTGGGTAGGACTTCCTTGTCAGTGGCTGTATACACGTGGCCATGTTAGAGCATTTTGAGAGGGGTGCAGACTTTCCCCACCCTTGACCGTAACAGGGCATTTGGGGCATTTGTGTGTTAGTGAAGCGTTAAGTACAACCCTAACACTTCTAACTGATTGTTTTCATCCATCGGCATTCGAATGGAAGTGAGCACAGCACTTCTTCAACCTAATGAAATTCTTCACGAATAAGTGCTTTGGGATGCTGTTTAGAGCGACAATGAAAGCTCCTCCTCCTCTAGTTTGGAGAAGACAGCGTTTTTAAAAGCATCCACTTAAGCTGTAAATCTCTATGATTTCAGAATTATTGAATAGTTAGTTGATCTTTTGTATAGCCAGTTTAAGTAGAACTGAAATGTTTTCCTATTCAACAGAAGAGATGCATATAAATATGTAATTTCTTATCTTATAACTTGTGGCTAGTTGCCTCACACCATAAGTTAGGAACTTATCTATTGCTAGGCTATATAGTTCATCTTTTTGGTTATTCCGACTTGTAGTAATATACCGGACTAGCTATCTATTGTCACGATCAGTGAAATGAATACACAGGTAACTCCGAGCTGTTAAGTCATCACAAGTTAGACTAAGATTAAAAGTTTATATAGGTCAGTCCCGGTTGATCAACTTACTACATAAACAAGCATCAAAACTGATGTGATGATCGATATATATTCATGTGCTAGTAAACACGGGTAAATGAGTAGTATTGAAGCTGCGTACAATCATTATGGCTGTTGCAAACCCTACCACTTTCGGTTTTAAACATCATTATGCCTATAATTCTTCATTTCATTTTGCTAAATTCAGACATTGCAAAACGAACTCGAGTGGAAAAGTTAAGGGCATTGTTTGCTCAAGAGTTGGAGTCAGTCTCAAACCCTATGATTCGTCGTGGCCTACTTCAAAGTATCGGACTCAAAGAATTTTCAGATTATTTAGCTTTATTACCAGAAGAACGTGACACTATTGAGGGAAATAATCTTCTGAAGCAAGCAACAGAGAACGTTAAAACAGCTACTCGACAGTATGCACGTCGTCAGGTGATTATATTTCTTTTTTATTGGTATTTCTCTGTTGAAGGGTTATAGCTAATCGTGTTTGCATTGGTGACTTGGTTGGTTTTAATTTTTATAAACTCAGTAGTCTGTTCATAGTTTGAACCAAGTTTATGTCAATTAGTAATTTTCGTAGATGCCTTTGTGGCTTTAATTCTTTTATTATTTTTTGTTCACCTACAATACTACTTTACAAAATTTAGTATACTGTATATTTAGTGTACAAAATTTAGCATAGCTATGCAATAAATCAAAGTGAACTGAAAAATAAATATCACTCACTAATCATTTACAGAATTCCATATTTTATTGACTTACCTTAACATACAGATTTTGTAATATTTGTATAATTATTGCATCATTTCAATGTACATAGCTTCCTTAATCATCTTGATGAGAACAAGAATAAAGATTTTTGAACAGATTAACATGAATCCATGTTATTTCTTTAGGTTCTCTTTATCTTTTTACAACATGTATTATTAAAAAATTCTAATTACAAAACAAGTTGAAAATTACTAAAACCTTATCTATACATTTAAATTACTTAATCCTTTAAACTAGCTTATATGGTAGATAAACTGTAGAATTTTAATCCTTAATAATTTGTTTGTTTTAAAATTATTTCACTGGGATTGGCCTCCACACATACGTGCTTATAAACAAACATATTTTACTACATCTACATATCTGGCCACATATTTATACCAATTAATTACTGAATCATTGTGTTCTTCCACATACTTCTACATACTTAGCTGACAGCAGCTCGTTCATTTCCATATCTGTTTGGATGGTAATTGTTAAATCATTCATTCTACCCTCTCTGTGTGTTTTTTTTTTTCTGGTTATTTGAGTTGTGCGTTGGAAAGGAATTATTGTAACTACTTCATAATAAGGACTGTACGGTCAGTTTGTATATGAAGCATTAAGATTAACGAGCAGCTATCCGTTACAAAATGCAAAAATAAATTTAATTGAAATTTTTAAGTATGTATAAGCGTATCATCGTAAGGATGTGAGACTAAATAAAAATATTGCAAATATATATCTTCTATAGTAGAGCATTCTACAACAACGATAGTAACAAAAGATCAAAGAGCTGTTCATAAGTACTTACGTAATGAGGAAACACTAATAATTAGTAAACATGAAATGAGTAAAGCTCAGTTATCCATTAATGTAAGTAACCCATGGTGTCATTAAAAAGACAATTCAACGAAGAAAGTTTTCTTTTCTACAATATCATTTAATCAAACTGTACAATTGTATTCATAGTTAATTAGCGAATAAAGTAGTTTATCAAAGAATAAAATGATTACCTAATCTTGGTTGTCAAAGTTTTATGAGGATCAAGAATTTAAATAAGGATGAAAAGTAATTGTCCACTTGACGAGTATGAAAAAGATGAAGAATAAATTAAAAGTATGAAGGCGATAAAAATTATTAATTTAAAAAACTAAAAACATTAAAAAGATGTATTAATAAGCAATTTTCTGTTTATAGAAACTTAGGTGTCCATACCATGTAAAAATGATGATTCTGAATATCAACAACATTCTGAATAATAATGATGAAAACGTAATGTACATTGAACAAGTCAGTAGTTATTTATACTCAATAGCACAGTGGATAGTGCGTTGGTGTTTGAAGCAAAAGGCAATAGGTTCGAGTCTCAGCGTGAACACAATCAGTATGATATAGATATATCCAGCTGACAAAACGAAAGTAGAACAAAACGTGCTTCCTAACTTCTACTGTTAGTTAGGATCCATCCATTCTATAAGACGACTTTTATACCATGAATTAAGAATGGTTGTTTGAAATTTCAGTGAACTAAAAGTTATTTTAATCCATATTTTCTTTTATTACGTTGTGGTTATGCATAGAATTTCAAGCAAGGAGTCTAAATAAACTGTCTAGTTTTGGTGGAGTTTTGTTTTCTGAGCTGGATGGTTTGGTCGTGGAGCTTTCATCATTCTTCTGAACGACATCATCAGCACAAACTTCATATAGAAGTGAAGTGTTCGAATTTCTCTATATGTGTTTCACAGCTTGTTCTGTGCACCTTGATGTTGATTGGTTCTTATTGACCTCAAATTCATCATTGTTTACTTCCTTGTTTTCGTTGTGTCTCCCATTGGTTTGATTTTTGTTCCTATATTTATGCATGATTTTCCTGATTGGCTGATAAATTGGATTGATTTCAATATGTTTGTTGATTACTGATTGACCTGAGTGCCAGGCTTCTCTGGTGTTTTTGGAGTTTCCTCTGTCTAAGATTTCTACATTTTTCCAATCGAATGAGTGTCCGTAGTTATCCACGTGTATTGATATAAGTGAAGAGATATCATGGCGTTTGACTGCTAATTGATGTTCATGTAGGCGAAGGTGGAGGGGGCGTCCGCTTTGTCCGATGTAGTGTTTGTCGCAGTTGGTACAATTTATTTTGTAGATGATGTTTGATTTGTTTTCCTTTGTTATTTCATCCTTTGGTTTGCATAGGATTGATTGTAGTGATTTTGTCGGTTTGTGTGCCACACCTATCCCGAAGGTCTAGTATTTTTATGGTATATCTAACTTAAAATTTATGATATACATTTTACGAATGTTTAGTTGCTATTTATACTGACGTGTATTATGAATTAGTGTAAGGTAAAAAATCATAATAATGTGCTTTAAACAATTTGTCTATTCATTAAGTCTATAGGGGGCATATACAAAGGTGGAAATTACTGGAGTTTAAATGATTTAAAATCGTATTGTGAAGAAGTAATCACATCACCGACTGTCCATTTATTGAAATAATAAAAATGAGTGTTTTGTTGATTGTTTCTAACTATCCGTTATCTGATACGGCATATTTCAAGATTAACCCGTTTCGATTGGTAACCGTAAACGACTAGTGTAGTCTATCTTTTTCCAAGTTTAGCACGTTTTATTACTTCATGTTTACCTGTAATATTTTTTTGTTTATTTTTAGTAATTTTATTTCCTTGGTAGATTCCTCTGTGTACTGTACAAATATGCATCAATTTACTACGTATATTAGGTTCTATTTTCTGCTTACCAGTTTTTGTTACAAAATTTAATATTTCTTAAATATAAAGTATGATATTCTGTTCTTAATGTTTATTTTTATCAGGTTTCTTGGATTAGAAATCGATTTTTACGACGTCCTATAGAAGGTAGCATTCCCGTTTATCGTATAGATGTGACAGATTTTTTAAACTCTGAATCTCCAGATATTTGGCATAAGACAATTATTGCACCAACTGTACGCTTAGTCTACAATGAATTAATAAAAATAGATGATTTACTCTTTGAAAACTTGAAAAACAATGATTATCTGAAAAGTTTACTTGATATTTGTTCTGAAAATTCTTGTCCTAAAGCAGAATCATTACTTTTGCCTAAATCTTTTACTGAATCAAACAATAACAACAATTCTCCATTCATTTGTTCAATATGTTCAAATAGAATATTTACACAAATCGATGGTTGGGAAGCTCATTTAAAAAGTAGATCCCATCAGAAACGTGCAGCAAAATATAAGAAAAGATTACTTATCGAGAAAGCAATGAAAAATTTATCATCATAATATTTTGTTAAATAGATAATGTTTTGTATAAAAGTTGTTTTTTTTCTCAATAAAATATATTACATTAATATTTGTACTGAATATTTAAATGGTTATACAGTTTGTGGAATTTTTCTTATATTATTATAATGGTTTGTGAATCCAAAATGATAGTGTAGTTGACCTTCAGAATTATGATGACCAGTTAATTAGTGAATAATATAACTCAGTAAATACTTGAAGTTTCAATCGTTTGATTTGAATTCCATATAAAAGTGCTACAGCACTTGCATCATGAATTAAATTCACTTGTAAGAATTTGTTTTATTGTCTTACTTACACCTCTGACTGTTAGGGAATCATAACTGTTTGTCAATTGAAGTTTCTTAAATTACAGTGAATATTTACCGTATCGTATTTATTGAGTGAAAACTATTTGTTGATATAGTTTGTTGTAGTGATGTATTTTTCATTTTGACTTTTTGGGAAAAATGTTTTAACTTAGATTTGCTAATAGGTTTTTGGATTTTAAAGTGCTCTAGTTCGACGTTTATGTTGAAATAATACATAAGTTAATAAGTAGTCGAAAGAGTCAAGGGTTTCCTATCGACTCGTATCAACCATCTAACATCAAAACATAGTGCACATTATGTCGGGTCATTTAGACTAGTCGGTCACATTGTAACTTGGTCGATAGGATTCGGTCAGCACAATAGAACCAGACCAATGTAACATTGGTCACTGCTCAGTGATCGATCAGTTGTGAATGTGTTCAGTGTAATTACAACCCAGTATATCACGTAGGGTACGTTTTGTGGTTTGATTATTCATTTGACTCTCATAATAGACCTAACCCTGTGGATCTAACTCATATTGTACGAGGGATTTATTTCACAACTTATTCAACCACCTATTTAGGGTTCAATTGCATAGAGCATCAAACAAAGCTCACTAGCATGAATCGCTACACTTCTCGACAGTGTAAAGACAGAAACTCAAGAAAATCAGCGAAATGTTAAAATGGACAAAATGAAAATATACGTACATAGACATATATAGCATAAAGTTGCTCAATGTTTGGAAAAGGAGTATGTTGGGTGCATCTGCACTAATACCCTCCAATTTCAACTTTTTATACGATCTCATGTCTCAAATTCTCAAGTAGAAATCTGCATTTTGATCACAGTTCAAACCTGCATCTAAAGACATTGTAGATTCGCCTGTTCAAGCTACTCTTTAGAACTTTTTCAGATCACTTTAATCAACGTTATACGTCAGAGTTTTAGTTTTTTAGGTATGAGTAAACTACGACAAATCACATAAATATTTAGGGGACGCACTTAATACGCCAAAAGTGCTTGTTATTAGCTATGCTAAACAACTTATTTTCAATTAGTATTAGGATATACTATAGCTTGGAATCCCTAACTATCAAAATGCGTTGCTGTAAGTGTTAAAGCAGTCGATCATCAACCACTAAGCTATAGGTTCAAACCCCATCTGCCTATTTCTGACTGGGCAGCTAAACGAGTATTACATTAACCCTCACAAATAAAGAGTACGTCAAGGCTGGGCTCAAGGACCAGTTACTGTTTTGCATAATAGGATTAGTAGCTATATGTGGAGTTGCACTGATATTTTATTATTACTTCAGTATCGGGAATTAAATTATCAATTGCCACAAAAATTTTCATCATCCTTTTAATCACAACGAATTGCTTCGGAAGTTCTTCGCGATTGCTTGTGCCTAATCGGAGGTTTTCGTTCTTCGATTACCGTTTTGACGAACATGTTTGATTTACCTTGATACTATGACACGTTTTAAATGTTCTGTAGTGTAGAAAAATTCACGATTTTAAGTGAGGAATCACACCATATAGAGAATCGTGTGTATAATGTTTACATCCAATTTGTAAGGGTTTGGATTTGCTCGTTGTTGATATTAAGGACTGCGAATGATCACCTTTAGAGTATGCGGACCCTGATAAGGTTTCCCTGATATTACCAATAATTTACGAGGATTTCCGAACGAAGTTCTGATGGTGGCTAGCGACGGGATCCAGGACGTGTTTCGTCGTATCTGAGACTCGTCAGCTGGATACACCGGCTTTTCACTGTTGACGTCCACGTAAATAATCGAGCCCGATGTATTTCGCTTCAAACACAAACGCGTTATCCACCGAGCTATTGAACTCAGATAGCCATTGGCTTGATTAATGGGATGTACTTTGTTCGCATGGGTTTGGATTTGTACGTTGTTGATGAAATGTACATCATGGATTTCACTGCCATCTATTAAAAAAACTTAGTTCACTTGTTCATCAATATCATGAAAGCAAATCAAAACAAAAGTGGACATTCTTTAGTCACTGCTCAAGAATAAATACTGAAATTTTTTTATTATTATGTGGGTAAATAAACTAGTTAAGCATGTACTTGATCTTGGGCTTTATTTAGATGTAAGAGCTAATGATACTACGTGATCGCCCAACAAAGTCATGCAGTTGTTTCGTTTCAAAGCATGCGGTATCGATTGCTTCTTATTATACCATACCTAGATACTACACTTTAATACATATGGTTGTAAGTAGCTGATGAAAAACCACAAAATATCATGAATTCATATTATTCCGCCTCATTTATTGTTCTGGCTTCCTTCAATTTCGTAAAGGAAACCAATTGTATGAAATTCTCGTAGATGATCAGTCAAGTATCTGTGAAGATTCTGTATACTAGTCTAGCCCGTATCTGTGGTTAGAAGCATTTTAGTGACAGTAGTTTCATATTATAAAATTCTCATCGATAGTTAATGGTCTTATAGTCATGAATAAAACTTCCTCAAATTTTATTTCCATTTTACTCTCTTAGTACTATTATACAATGAAATGAATAGTCATTTAAATCAAGCAGTTTAGACTACATTGTAGGTGAATTCGTTACTGCACAATTTCCCATTATTTATTTTAAATAAATTGTTTCTAATGCTACCCTGCTAAATTCCAAGGATATAATTGTTAGTTAATTATTCCGTTTCAAAATATGAGTTTTACTTGTAATAACAACTAGGTGATAAGTGTTCTACAGTGTTCTTTTTATTTTTAATTTTTAGCCATCTCGTCAAGTGTACCTTTTCTAGTGTTGAATAATTTAACCAAAAGATTGGGTCAATATTGTTATTTGCGCAAGAATATTAATATAAATGTCTATATTTAAAAGGTATATCACTAAAACTGTAGTGGCTATTGTAAAGAAGTATACAAAATTAGTGACATATTTGGAAAACAAATGGGAAGGTAAACATGCTTCATCATTTTATAATTATAAATTATTTAAAAATGGTAAGTTTTCGATAAATTTCTCTTGTTTTTATTTCTAGTTGATGATAATTCTACTAGCTGTTTGATAAGTTTAATCTATTAGCTGAATCTATTGTGACAATTTTGTTGAATTTTTTAGTTTTTAAACTACACAAAACCTTCAAAGCCTATACTGACTCTGCAAACTAAAGAAAAGATAACAATGATCAACCGATCCATGTATAATAGTTAATATTTGTCTTTACATTAGGATATCTCAGTGTATTCTTTTTCATGACATGGTGATACAGTTAGTCAATGAAGAAATATGTTTATTTAGTTTATTAACTTATTTACTAGATTAATCTATCTAGTGGTCAGTGTTATTATTCTGATTGAATATTGTACGTAATAGGTATTACTTTTAGTAAAAAAGTACCTACGATTAATTCATTTGAAATACTGTAGTAGCTGTTAAGTTATTGTCTGTAAGTTTTGTACGTATCTACCTATATATGTAAATAAAACACATTTAGATTATCAGAATGGGTTTTGTGGAGATTTTTTTAGAAATTTCACTGGTTGACATCATGAGTCAATTGAACCTAGACCACCATGAAAAACCTGGAAGCACAACGGCCATTTCGTCCTAGTATGGGAATCCTCAGCAGTGAGCATCCACGATCCCGCCCCCCGCAAGACTCGAACCCAGGACCTAGGACGAAACAGCCATCTTGCTTCCAGGCTTTCCATGGTGATCTAGCTTCAATTGACTCATGATTTCAACCAGTGACATTTAGATTATTAAATAAAAGCACTAAATAGGTTAGTTTAACATAAAGAGCATTAAAAACAATTCTTTATCAACATTTACCACTGTTAGTTTCACTTCCAATGTGTTTACTCTATTTTGTATCAAACTGTAAATAAGCTTATTGTATGATACTCAATCAAGCAGTAACTTCAGAGATTTATTGACATACGTAATTTTATTTCAACGTAAGATAGTTAAAGTTAAGCTAGAGGAAAATTTTAATGAAGATTTATCTCGAATGATTTGGTTGCCTTCCTTTAGATTTGCATATATGCGCAGCAGCAATAACCTCGATCAACTTTGATGATAGAAATATGATTTAATCATGATTGTTTCCTATATATTCTAGATAAAATATGGGGAGAGGGGTTAAATTTGCTTAAAAATATTGTGGATTTTATTGAAAATATGTATCAATTAATCTTGTATATTTGAATATGTTTACAGGTGTCCACTCGACGTTGATAGATTTGGGTGACCTCAGTCAGTTATGGATAGATATTACTTGTCGTTCTCAGTCAATCTTAGAAATCCTACCGACTCTTAGTAGACATCAGGTGTATGTCCTACGTCAGGTATAATTTGTTTTATTTTCTAGCTTTATTCTATGCAATTGGCTTAATAATGTTCACTCTTCGTAGAGCTTAGTGAATTATGTAGGTTTTCTTACAATTGTATGGTAGCTTCAGTGAAATTCAGGTTACACTTTTCTTCCTATTAATAAAAATTTGTGGCTATATAGCAGTAACGAGGCAATCCGTCAAGTACGCATATATAAATATAGTAACTGAGTCATTACAGTCCTTAACGTCAACAACGGGAAAATACAAACTTTTACGAATAAAATCCTGTGTTTTTTTGCTTAATATATTCCTTAAATCTACACGTTTTAGTTTATTGTAGCTATGAGAAACTGGACATTACTTTGAGTTTTTCTTGTTTCTACCCTTGTAGTGGTGAAAATGGAAGTTATCATTTTCAATTGTAATCGATCAAATAACATTTTAATTAGTATCAGAATGTATGTAGAATGAATCTATTTCTCTCCTTTTGTTACAGGTGCCTAAAGATTTGGTGAAGATTTTGCCGGTAATGCTTCTTGCTCCATTACCAGGAACAATACTAATTTTACCAATCTTGTAAGTAATAACTATAAAAAATACAATAATATTATAGTGACTTAAAGTGATTCCAGATTTTAGAATAATGATTGAGATTATATTCATGATAAAGAATTATTTACTGTTATTTATACTATTCTTTGATTTGGCTCTACTTTTCTTATCGTTATATATATATATATATGTTTGTTTTAATGTAAACATTTACTTGACTATTCATGGAAAATGCAAGATCATAGCTCACCATGAATCAATCTCAATAGGGAAAGAAATTAAACATTCATGATATCAGGTAGAATAACAATTTAATAATTGATTAACTGTAATTTATTAGCGGCAAAATATATAATGATAGTGAATTATATGAAACCTTACAATTGACATAAAACAATATTACCATAAATTACTTGGTTAAGGAATAAAAACTAATTATACCAAGAATAACTGTATAAGTTCATTTGGTGTTGTTTTACTTGTATCTTCCCATTGTTATTCAGGACTGCAATTGACCAGTCTCATGTTAGCATATGTGCATCCTATGTGGATTGCCTCGATATAGCCTTAAGTTACAAGCTTTCTAAGCAAAGATGAATAGTGACTAGCAGTGGAATCCAGGACGCGCGTTTCGTCCCAGAACTATATAAGTTTTATAATTTCCTTTCTACTCTTATTCTTAACAGTTTATGATCTTTAAAATGGAAATGTGTTTGATTCTTCTATGAATCATTCCCATTTATTTGATTCTAAAAGTATGTGTCAAATTGTAGTTTCAATGGAAAGTAACTTCAAAAAGATATTTATCTAATTTCGATTTTATTAATGATCATTTAGTTTTGGCTTCTGAAATAAGTTTAGTTCAAGGAAAAGTCCCATTCCATACTGTTATAATTCATTCGTTAATTCCTAAAATCTTACAAAAATTTGAATGGTAGAAATGTAAGTATAAGTTGGAGATTTAGGATTTTTCAGCAAATTCATTTCTAGGTGTATTTATTTGTCCAAAAGCTTTACAATAACTGTTCAAACTCTTTTTTATTTAGTTATTTAAAGACAATATGCTCGTGCTAACCAGAAATTTGGTAGTACAAAAACTGTTACTTTTCTAGAATTTAATTATGTCAAATAACATATATCTTAGTAGTGAATCCAGAGTTACTCCATTTTTTTTGTTCATTGGATTGGTTAGGATTCCTGGCTTTCACCCAGGCGGCCCGGGTTCGACTCCTGGTGCGGGAGAGTTTTCAAAATTTTTCCTGCTTCGGTTTGGGCACCCGGGTAGTATCGCAGCCCATACACAGTTAATGAACTGAACTGTCTATGGTCATGGAAACTAATTCTCTTGCTTCGACGAACATTCAAATGATCCAATTATTATTATTGCTATTATTATTATTATTATCATTATTATTGTTCTTCTTCTTATTATTATTATTATTTACTACGTCATTATTCACCCTCCTTTCTTCCCACTCTGTTTATACTTATTTTCTCGACTTATACAGCAGCTCGTCTATGGTGGAAATTCGACTGTATCTAAACGTTCTCGAGTCACTGTCCGGTTGAAAATTGTATGTTACCACCGAATACGAGTACTGAAGCAGTTTTTCTGAAACCACGTGCACCATTCAAACTGGCTGCCTTCAACGTTCGCACATTTATGCAGGTCGGACAACAGATAGGGCTGGCTATGTCTTTGGAAAGTCTTAATATCGATGTCTGTTGTCTATCCGAGACCCGTATTCAAGACTCTGGCGAAGTACTACAAATTCGATCTCCATCTGTCGCTTCGAAAAGCTTGTTTTACGTGCGCTTATCCGGGGACCCTGTGGCATCTTCGTCTGGTCTTGCTGGCGTTGGTGTCGCACTAAGCGCTAGAGCTGAGGCAGCACTAGTCGATTGGATCCCCATTAACAGTCGGTTATGTGCTGTTAGATTAGAAAGTTCCATCAAAGTGAGAAGAAATCGGCGTGAGAAACGATGTCTTTTCGTCATCTCCGCCTATGCCCCGACAGATTGCAGCCCGGATGCAATCAAGGATGAGTTTTACCACCAGTTATCTGTTCTTCTCCAGAAAGTGCGTTCGACAGATATTGTAGTACTAGCCGGAGACTTGAATGCTCAGGTCGGGCGTCTAGGCACAGAAGAGAGTCGTTTAGGTGGCCGATGGGGACTCGTTGGTCGCAGGTCAGATAACGGGGACCGTCTACTGCAACTTTGCACAGACCACAACCTGTTTCTGGCTAGCACTAACTTTCGGCACAGTCATCGCCGATGTGCCACCTGGCGTCCTCCCTCTGCATCTCAAGCCTGGACTCAGATTGATCACATCGCGATCAGCTACCGCTGGCGTGGTTGTGTACAAGACTGCCGCTCCTTTTGGAGTACCTATCTGGACTCTGACCATGCCTTGGTCTGCGCCAATCTTGCCTTACTTTTCAGTGGACAACGAAGTGACCACCACCAACGGATTGATGTTAGCAAGCTGGTTGCAACTTCTGTTGCAAGTAAGTATCGAACCGAGCTAGCCTCTAGGCTAGCTACCACTCCACCGAAAAGTATAGATGAGCATTGGTTGCAATTGCATGACGCCATGAAAATGGCGGGAACAGTCAGTTGTGGGTTTGCGAAACGTCCCGCTTTTAAGCACTGGGTTTCTTCTGGTTCCTTACAACTCATTGAAGCCCGTCGGTCTACTCCGGGTGACCGTGAGTTTGACCATAAACGAAGGATGTTACGTAAGGAAATTGGGCAAAGCTTGCGTAAGGACCGAGAAGCCTGGTGGTCGATGCGTGCTAATGAGCTGGAAGCAGCAGCTGCATCTGGTAACTACCGGAAGCTCTTCCAGCTCATCCGAGCCACTGGCAGCAAGAAGTCTGGTGTGAGTGAAACAATCTGCGAGGATGATGGGATGCCAATCACTAACATCCATCGACGTCTTGGACGATGGGCAGAATTTTTCGAAGGGCAGTTCAACTGGCCTGCTGCTCCGGCAACATCGGTCAGACTGTCCTGCCCTCCATGGCCGGTGACGACTGATCCACCAAATGAGGAGGAAGTCCGCAAGGAACTCCAACTCTTGAAGCGTTACAAATCACCTGGCCCAGATGACTTACCTCCGGCTCTTTTTAAAGATGGTGGTGACTTTTTGACTAAGGAATTGACGACGTTGTTTACAAAGGTTTGGGAACTAGAGAGTGTACCAACGTCATGGAATGAGTCGATAGTTGTCCCTATCTTTAAAAAGGGTTCACGTCGTTCCTGTAACAACTATCGGGGGATAAGTCTACTTCCGATTGCGTCCAAGCTATTGGCTTCCGTCATACTTCGTAGGTTGTTCAAAACCCGAGAAAGATTGACTCGCGAGGAGCAGGCTGGGTTTCGTTCTGGTCGAGGATGTATTGATCATATCTTCACCCTCCGCCAAATGTTAGAACACCGCCATACTTATCAAAGGCCAACAATCGTAGTGTTTCTTGACATCAGGGCTGCCTTCGATTCGTTGGACAGGACTGTTCTCTGGGATTGTCTATTGAAGAAGGGTGTGCCTGAGAAGTTTATTAACATCCTAAAAGCCCTATATAAAAACACCTCAGGCAGAGTGAGGGCATACAACCACCTCTCTCCATTGTTCCATTCGAGCAGTGGGGTTAGGCAGGGTTGCCCAATCTCACCATTCCTCTTCAACTTTGCCATCGATGACATTCTGGAAACAGCTCTGATGAATGTAAGTAATGGTGGTGTGGATCTGTTGCCTGGAGAAAGACTTCTCGACCTTGAGTATGCGGACGATATTGTCTTACTGTGCGATAATGCCCAAGGCATGCAATCCGCACTTAATCAGTTGGCAATCAGTGTCCGTAGGTATGGTATGTGCTTTGCACCTTCGAAGTGCAAAGTACTTCTACAAGACTGGCAGGATTCTAATCCTGTACTCACCCTGGATGGTGAGCAGATAGACGTAGTCGAGAAGTTCGTGTATCTGGGTAGCTGCATAAGTGCTGGTGGGGGTGTGAGTGATGAGATCAATGCACGAATAGTGAAAGCCAGAGCGGCTTATGCCAATCTGGGCCACCTTTGGCGCCTTCGTGATGTTAGTCTGGCTGTAAAAGGTCGGATCTACAACGCGTCGGTGAGAGCAGTTTTGCTCTATGCTTGTGAAACCTGGCCTCTCCGAGTTGAGGACGTTAGACGACTCTCTGTGTTCGATCATCGCTGTCTCCGAAGGATTGCTGACATTCAGTGGCAACACCATGTCAGTAATGCAGAGGTTCGGCATCGTGTGTTCGGGCACAGAGATGATAATCAATTGGTGTCACCATCTTGAAACACCGACTTCGGTGGCTTGGACATGTTCTCCGAATGTCGTCCCAGAGAATTCCACGTCGTGCATTATTTGCCGACTCTGGGACTGGTTGGAAGAAGCGGAGAGGTGGTCAGTGCATGACATGGTGTCGTGGCATGAAAGAAAGCTGCAAAGGACTGGCTTGTGTTGGTCCTTCACGACTCCCTGGTTGGGGTCCGAGAGATGGTGCTACACAGTGGCTAGAGACGTTATCAGATATGGCTCAGAATAGAAGCCAGTGGCGATCCTGCTGTAACCTTCTTTTACTTTCTTCATAAATAGTGGTTGTATCTTCCTTAACTGAAAGATTTCTTCTGATTGTACCCTTCTGTTCCGCTACTATTGCTATTATTATTATTACATTACCTTACACCAATCTGTTCGTTATTGTTTTTTTTTTCAATTATTATTATTATTATTATTATTATTTCTTTTTTACGCTCCTCACTTTTTCTTCTTAGATTCTCATTGTTTTGTGTGGCGCATATATATTCGGCACACTCCTGTACCAATATATATGCGTTCAAATTAAAATAAAATAAAATAAACGAAGCAATCATTTATAGTGCAAAGCACCAGTAGGAATCGCTAGCAAACTATTTCAGTAGTTTCTTCTTTTTTGTTATTAAAATGAATGATTAATAATTTGTGATATAACACACTTGACATTTACTAACTTGTACCCTCTCACTCTAATTTTTTTCTTTATAGTTTTGCTTTTCCTCGTATTTTTCTGTCACGAGCATTTTGGACACCAGAACAATGTAAATCTATCGATACAAAATGTTTGAAAGATCGATTTGACTATAATACTCAATCTTTATTAAAGTCTAAGCTCTTGACAATAATTTATTCGTCCCCATGTTCTATGAATTATTCTCAACCTATTTTGAAGTCCTTAAGAAAGTTAGCTAGTGCGTTAAGTCAGGTTAGTTTGGTAGTTTCAGTTATATAGATTTAAGTTAATTCTTTAATGAACTTTAACATTTGAGTGTTGTTTTAAGTTTTTTAAAAGAAAAATCTGTTTTTACACATACACTGGTGAATGATTTATTCATGTAACGTTTGTAACAATGTTTTTATTATACCAAAATGAAAAACCATTTTTTAGTCTTCGTTTTGAAGATAATCCTCATCCGTTGTGAAATCACTGAAAACCAGGAAGCGTTGAACAGTTATTATATTGTCGTTCCATATTTGTCATCAATACGCAGCCGGGATCTTAAATATAATCGAACTTGCGACTGTGAAGTTTCATGGAGAGCTCAAGATTTACATTTCCAACCTTAGTCAGTCCTCGTCTAAGTATTCGTTTTTGTAGGAAATATGATCCGACTATTTTTCGTACTTTGTATACTATCATCATCTAAGCATATCTAGAACATTAACCATGCATATGCTCCTTCGAAAATTAGAATGTATACCATACTTTGTTAAGGTTATATGTATTCAGATTACGATTAGCACTTTACGGGATTCGATTTTGAGTTCATTGTTTTATATTCACAGATGGATCCTAAATATTTTGTGTAGATCATATGGTGGTTGACTACCTCCAACCACCATCTCAGTGTAAATATATTTATATAGATATTTTGAAACTTTCATTTTTAAATCTTGTCAAATTCAATCAGGTCAGATGTACTCTCTCTGTGTCAATGGCCTAGTTAGTATGAAATTGTACTCTCGTTGTCGGCTCGTTTTTTGTTGATAAAATAGTTTCGGTTTTTCTTGAGTTAATGTGGACGCTAAAAAAACCAACAAATGTATGTTTAATCTTAATAAGGAAAATGTTCGTCTAATTAGTATAACTTAGTTACCAAATTGATGTGGAATAGATAGAATGTGGCTAGCAGGGTGGGACCCCAGTGACTATTTAGACTCGGCAACTTAGTGAATAACGCGATGTGGTTTGAAGCGAATGGTAATGGGTTCGAGTCATGGAGTGTACATCAACTCTGGTATGAAGGTCCATTCAGTTGGCGGGCCCCAAACAGGACTGAACGCGTGTCCTGGATTCCACTGCTAGCTACATTCTATCTTTTCTTTAGCAACTTTTGTCATCCTGGATATATCGAGGCAATCGGCACAGGTTTGTTTAAGTATCAAATGGACATTCATGAGCTTTATTTTAAGTCAAATTTTTGTTAGTCAAATCAAAGTAGAATAAAAAGCATATATTATAAGTCATAATCCGTTGAGATTTATAATAAAGTTTACAGTTTATCTGGAAACATTCAAAACTGCATGAAGTCAATTTAATTGTAAAGTAATAACTTACTATTTGAACCTCATCGATTGAACATTATTTGTACCATAGGATTACTTACTTACCTACTCACTCCAGTTACTCCTGGTAGAGGAGCATAGGTCGTCCACCAAAATTCTCCATCAAACTCTATCTTGAACAATCCTTTCCAGTCGCTATTCATCCTTTTGACGTCTGCTTTCAATTCTCGGTTTGTGTTTTTTTTTTTAAATTTCAAACTATGCGGTTACTTATCATATATCGTGTTTTATGTATTTCCACTTATGAAGCTAATTATTTCTCAGATATTTCATTTTCAGGTTTTTGAATAATGTTAACTGTAACAGCATAGCGAGAACAGCAAACTGAATGCTAATCTTATTATAGTAACAAATATTATTTGATTGAATAAACTGACTGATTAAACTGACCGAAGGTCCTGGGTTCGAGACTCGCGTGCGGGATCGTGGATGCGCACTACTGAGGAGTCACATACTAGGACGAAACGGTCGTCCAATGCTTCCAGGTTTTTTATGGTGGTCTACCTTAAGTTGACTCATGAATTCAACTATCTGAGTAAATTTTAGCCTAATTTCCTCAGCATAGCTTATCTTCTCAGTTAATACATTCTACTCTAAAAATGAACCAGGAATATTGTATGTGTATGTGTGTGCATGTGTTTATTGTAATCATATCAACTCATTATGCGTGTTTATACCCGTGAATATTTACTCAACTAGGATTAATTCAGATATCGTTTTTTTACTATATGGTAACTGTGAGGTTTGATAAGATTGTGACTTGCAGACTGTTAACCTTTATCAAGTGACGGACTATCAATATTATCTTATAGGTGTCTATGCAACGACTTATAACTTATCTTAGTGTACGGTTATCCAACGAATATATACATGATATCTCGTTATCAGAGCTGGGATAAAGAAGATCGCTTGCAAATGTTCTAAGCTTGAGTTCGTTAATTCGCAGATAACTGTCTCCTTGCAGTAATATAAAATATAATTACATAAGACAATATACTATGGTGTTATATTTCACATCTTTTATGAAAAACTGAGTTAATAGGTTTTGTTTGTAATTTTACGATACTCGTATTCTGTCACCTATATAACAAGATATCTTGTTAACTCTTCAATATATAATAGTTGAATACCAATACATCATCGATCTAAAACATGATACTAATTGAATAATTTTGCATTGTGTAAAATGGAATATTTATTCATTACGTTTTCATTATCTTTCTGAACAATATGGTTATCATAAAGGAAGTGAGCTGCTAGGATTTTTCAAACGTCTTTAACAGCTTATTCCATTGATATGAGATTTTGTTTGTTAACAATAATTGTACTCTCACTGCATATATCTATTTTGATAATATCTCTTATCTTGCAGTTATCTATCATTTTCTAAAGGGCAGATAGATTGGGCTTATTCTGACATTCTATTGGTTGCTAAATAAGCTGTTTGTCATGCTTCGAAAATTCACAAGTCTTTCATGTGTTGCCTCTTTGAGATTCTAACATTTTCATAGTTTAACTCCTAACCAGATTGATTGAATTAAGCGAAAACATGTTACAGCGTTTGGTGTCTTCGTTAGACTGAGACGAATAGGATTATCATTTTGTCTACTGTATTGTTCCTCGTAGATAGTAAAAAAACTATTGTGTTTATACTCATTTTTTTTCTAAAAGATAAAGAGCACTATAGACAAATCTTTTTTTCTACAAATTTCGTGTCCAGTAAACAGATAATTTATACTTGTGTAGGATTTTTACTGGTCTAGAACATATTGTTGGGAGTTTTTTGTCATAATTTTTACCGTATTATAACGCAACACACACTCGAAATACAACCACTTAGACGAGGTTACAGTTGTTTCTTGGATTGGTATGATAAACCGAATGGCTCCATCTTTGGTGCTTTCATGGTGTTCCTCTGGCTGTGAAAGGTCGAATCTACAGTCTATCGGTGAGAGCAGCTTTGCTCCAGGCTTATGAAACCTGGGTTTTCCGAGTTGTGGACGTTAGGTAACTCTGTGTTTGATCATTATCGTCTCCGAAGGATTGCCGACATCTAGTGGAAACACCATGTTAGTAATGCGGAGGTTCGAACACAGTGAATATAATCCAATTAGTACCACTATTTCGGAACACTGACTTCGATGTCTTGGATATGTATTACAAATGTTGTCCCGGCGAATTCCACGGTGTACCGACGGTGGGACTGGTTGGAAAAAGCGGAGAGGTAGTCAGTGTATGACAAGGTGTAGTGGTATGACAGAAAGCTGTACAGGACTGGCTTCTGTTGGTCCTTTACAACAACCCATTTGGGGTCCTCTCGACAGTGCAACACGCTGGCTTGAGACTATGGGATATGGCTTAGAATACAAACCAGTGGCGATCCCGCTGTAGCTTTCTATTTCTTTTTTCATAAAAATGGAGGTAACTTCTTTTCTGGTTGTATTTTATTTCAACTGATTCTCCCATTATTATCATTATTATAACTACTATTATATTTTATTATTACTTCATGCTTATACACTAATTTCTACTCATTTTTGTTCTTTTTTATTATACTCACTGTCCGTTCTCTATCTTTTCACAACCTCATTTTTATTGTGTGGGGGATATATATTTGGTGCCCACTTAAACCAATGTTTATATGTTGAAATAAATAAATAAATATCTGCATACATTTGAATGCCTGAATTAAATTCTTCCAGTTCGTTTCATATTTGCCTTTTATTACCATCAGTCACAATGAGATTAGCTTAAGTATGACACATGAAATTGGTCGAGAAATTGTATCTAATCATTGTTATCATAAATGGTGCCAATCCGGTTCCTCAATTATTTATATTTAGAGTATAAAGTAAATATTTTAATTTTTCAGTTGATAACTGTTCTAGATCTTTTCATGAAATATTTTTTTCGCTCTATCAGAATTTTAAGTTTTTTTCTAAATGTAATTTCAATAGTTGAGATCATGAGTCAAATGAAGCTAGACTACCGTGGAAAACCTGGAAGCACTGGATGACCGTTTCGTCCTAGTATAAAACTCCTAAACAGTGTGCACCTACGATCCCGCCACACGAGATTCGAACCCAGGATCTATCAGTCTCGCACGCAAACGCTTAACCTCTAGACCAGGTTTTCCATGGTGGTCTATCTTCAAATGATTCATAATCTCAGTCATTGAAATTACTATAATACCCATAAAAACCTTTCTAATTATATCATTTAATACATTATTTATCATGCATTAATAATTGATTGTATTCATTGACTAAATTACATAAGAATAAGTTATGTATAAATAATAAAAAAAAACTTTGAGACTATGTAGTTTAGTTCCTTTTCACCTTGATATTATTTATAAATTGATGAATCTTGTCTGAAACTCAATTACTTTTTTAAAAAAAATTATGATTTAACTTACTGAATGGAAGAATGAATCCAACTAAGCGGATTGATATTTGCATTCTCACAATTTAACTAATGAATTTTATTTGGTGCATTTAGTTATGTTTTCTTTTGTATAGTGAAAGCTTATATTCCTTCAGACTGGGTTTTATATTCACATTTTATAGTTTAGTTTTTAGTCAGTTGTAAACGATCTATATATATATATATCAGTAGCAGTAAGAAAGATTAGATGTAGACAACATGATTCAAAACAAAGAATGAATACATGGAATAAAAAGTATCATTATCTTGAGATTATGTCGTTCAAACCGATTCCGAGAGATGTCATCCAACATCTCCAACTATTAGTGACAATGATAGCCTAGACCTTAACTGACTAGTCATTGCCTACCTATGTAATAAACTAACATTTAATGACTTTATAAACGTATATCACAATTTAGTTTGACCGCTCCAAACGTTCTCCCAACCTTCTCATACCCTACACCTGTAGGCAGTAATTTGGCATACATCATTCATCCCTTAACCACTTCATTAGATAAAGATTTATTGTGTCACCAATAAATTGGACATTTTTGCATAGTATGCTTCTTTCCACTTCAGTCTTGATCACATACACGAGCGATGCTTCAAAAGGGGCCTATGATTAAATAGTAGTAACCTTATTTATTTTAACACATAAATATTGGTACAAAAGGACACCAAATACATATGCGCCACACAAAATTTCATTGATTTATGTGTGGGCTGTGATACTGTCCGGGTACCCAGACCGAAGCAGGACTAGTGACCTACAAAGGCCATGTATCCCGGTCATAAATTAGAACAAAGTACTATTTTATAAGAATTCAAAAGTTTCTTGTCAGTCGTTTCACCATGATCAACTGATATCAGTCCCTAGTAAAGTAGCGTCCAAATTACTAAAGGAAATATATAGTGATTGATTATTTTTTCTATATAAATTGCTTATTAGCAGTTAAACATAGGAGTCATTTCGAATAAAGTTAATTATGCATTCCTGGTCAGTTTAGCTAACTAATTAAACAATGTAGCTTAAATAAGCAAAAAATAAGTTAAATTTTCCTCAATATGTTAAAATTTTTAGTTGTGTTAACTAGATTGTTCACATTACTGTTAATATCTCTGTTTTAGTTTTAAAACATTTTAAGCTTATGTTTAGTTTCCATGTATTCTTCAGGTAATTTTTTGTTTGATATGTTTTCTTATCATTGGAATCTAAGCCTTTTAATGATGTACTGAGACTATTTAATGTAACAAATTTATCATTATACCACATTACAAATTGTTCGGTTCTGAGAAATATATAGTAAATATATAAACTATTTTCACAGATTGAAATCATGAGTCAGTTGAAGCTAGACCACCATTGAAAACCTGGAAGCATTGGACGACCGTCTCGTCCTAGTATGGGACTCCAGTGCTTCCAGGTTTTCAGTGGTGGTCTAACTTCAACTGACTCATGATTTCAATCTGTGAAAATTTCTAAAAATCTCCACGAACCCCTTTTGATATAAACTATTTAACATAAGATCTGAAGTTCTGAGTTTGGTCTAAAATTGCAATGAAAAAGTATCAAGTAGTTTCTATCCATTCATAGTTATCATTTTTACTAAATGCAACAATTTACTTACGATATATCATTATGAAATGATCATCTGATAAAAAGAAGAATATTATTCACTCTTTTTGTTATCGAATACAAACTATATGTCATACTGAATATATATTCAAGGAAAACTTAATTTCATTCAATAAACTTATGAAAGAAATATACAGTCAAGAAGTCAGAAATTCTATTTGTTAACTGTACTTCAAGGATTTAAAATGAATAAGACATTTGATATATATATCTACAAAACTATGTGTTTGAAGTTATAAGATTTGTAGTTAAACGTTTTGTAAATTTTACAAAATACAATTAACCCTCTATCTGTACAAAAACTAGTGGTCATCATTTATTTGGTACCATATAAATCTACCAGGTTATATTTTCTATAAAAATTGAGTGCGTTAACTTTAGTTTAAGTAGATATCTCAGAATAGTTGTTTATTAAAAAACAAAAACAAACAACGACTGGGTATATTAAATAATTTCTTTTCAATTCTGAGCCAGTTTTATTTATATTCTTCGTTAGTTTATATTTGTTTCTATTTATGAGCATATTTTTTTTCTGATATTATTCTTTTTCTTTTGAAAAACAAATATATATTTCAATGGTTAAGATCATGAGTCCGTTGAAGCTACACCACCATGGAAAACCTGAAGCACTGGATGTCCGTTTCGTCCTGTTGTGGAACTCCTCAGCAGCGCGCATCCACGACATCGCCCCCTGCGAGATTCAAACCTATGGCCTACCGGTTTCGCGTGCGAGCACCTAACCATTGGACCACTGAGCCGGCATTCAACGGTGTTAATGTCTAACTTCAACTAATCCACGAAACTGAGCGACACATCCACCGTTGTCTTCAGTAAGTTACTGTCTCACAACAGACCTGGTTGAACTCCACTGGTCACTACTTCTCACTAGAACTTCAGCAAATACCTCTTGAAGCCAGTCACTATTGAGCATATATTGATTAATATCCGAAAAACCCTTCCAAATATATATTTGTCTTTTTTTCAAGGTTTCAATATTAGAACCAATTTCAATCGAACAAATTCGTGATTTAGTACCTGCTTTCAAAGGTCCATTATCTTTAGAACAATTGGATACAAGTCATTTAGTGAGTTATTCTGTTTTATGTGACAATAGTATTTACTCAAAATAAGATTATGATAATAATAATATTGTTTTTTAAGAATATATGACTCTGAAAATTCCAACTTTTACTACCCTTTATGAATTTCTACTTTGTAATAACTGCTACTTTTATCTATTTTTAGAAAAAGTTGTTATAACTTGTGGCCTGAGTGCCATGCTAATGTATACGTAATGATACCGCCTATTAGAGAGCAGTGAATTATCGATCGGGCTAACGACACATAAAACCCATGAGAGCAGTCTAGAATCCTTATTGGCCTTGTCTTTTGCCTAGCCCAGCCAATTAAGTCCAGAACACCAATGTCAGCCTCTGAAATATAAATCATTTATTTCAAGCATACTGGGTTTATATACCCATCAAACATACCACATCGTACTGTAGAATATGAAACAACATTTGTACAAGAATTAGCCAAATGTGGCTGTGAATGTGGGAGGTAGTAATTAATAGACAGGCTACAATTGAAGAATGGTAAATCGTATAGTAATAGTTTATGGGTCAAACTAAAGCTTATAATAAGAGGGAGATGAATATGAATAGTTTAGTTAAATAACAACTATACGATAAAAATATACTCATAGTATTGGTCCATAAGTAGATCCCAAAAGTTATCATTCATTATGCTTATCGAGGCATAGCAAAAATAATAAAATGTTCAGTGGTTTGGTTTCATACATTTACCATGCATTTAGTGAGAAAGATATGCTTACTATTATAGTTTTCATTACGGACTGATCTTAGTTAAATAACCATTGGAAACCAGGAAGTTTTAAATAACTATTTCTACTGTTAGAGAATATACATCCACTACACCTCAGGGATTGAGACTAAGATCTTCGGGTTTTACGGTTAGGGCCTAACCTTTGGACTGCTGAGCCGGCATCCAATAATTTACATGTTTAATTTTAATCAATCCATGACATTATGCAATCATTTTTCAATATCAATAATAAGTAACTGCTTCACATTTGTTTGGTCTACTGATTCCTAGATCTTGACAGTTATTTACCTGAGATCCGTCTTTGGTGTAAACTTAAAAAAGTCAATAATCTTAACAGACTCCCTATAGTATTCATTACTATTGTTGTATTTTATTTCATATTTAAACTGGCTGTTTACCTCTAGAATATCTATCACTGTTCACTTCAAGTGATCCATCCTTTTTCACTCTACACGTCATACTTACCAATGAAACGTATATAGCTGCCATTTTTCGCACCATCACTGTTATATCTTTTATAGATGACATTATATGTTTTTTAACTATGATCGTTGAAAAAAATGTGATTGAAAATTATACTACTTGAATTATGACCGGTAATAAATTCCAAAATAATGAAAAAAAGTGCAAGGTTTCGTACAGAATACATATTGCTATGCAATTTATTATAATAAAGCTAGTATTCTTCCGAAGTTTCCTAATTTTCTATTGTTGTATACCCGATTCTAACGTGTAGTTTATTTCAGAGTCCTAGATGTTAGCGAACTGGTCAACTAGTCATACATATTTCTCTTACTTTATAACAGCTTTAATTATACACTTTTCACACTGAATTCAACATAAAATAGTTTCATTTATCAATGTTTATCCATGTAGATACTATGATTTATATGTAATAATCGACCTTTGCTCTAGATTCAGTAGTCAGATGACAAGAAGTACATTTAATTCTGCTGTTATTTTTCCATACTGGTTTTTATTTGTTTTACTTGTTTGAATTCTCCATATATAAGCAAAGAGAGCGTTTGATTGATTACAAAATAGTAACTAACGTCAGGATGAATGAATTCTACTGATCATATTTCAGCGTCGTTATTAATCTAATTTATTCGATATTTCACGAACTATTTTCAGATATTAGTTGATTAGAGATATTTTTTACACGAAACTCGAAATCTAATTATCTTGATAGAACTAATGCTCCATGTGAAGTTTAAATTTGCATCATTCTGCTTCACAATCTGATACGTTACATCTGAGCTATCTGGGTCACAAGTCACCTGCAATCATCTAACAAGTCAATAAAATTTAAGCAAATATAACATTACTGTAATTATTTGCTATTAATTAATAATCATCATCAAAAGATCATAGTAGTGTGTTTCATATTTAAATAACTGCATACAATTCATTATTTTTATGATAATTTAAGAGTATCATATCTATTTTGTACACAATTCTCAAAAGTATAGTTCAGGTGTTTCTCAGTCACTAATAGTTTATTTCACTAAATGTATTATCATTTGTTTTTTTATAGATAGTACGAAATTAATACTCATACACAATATAAACTATCCTTATCCATTGTATATACAACTTGAGCTGATCAATAAAACTGAACACATAGAATGTTGCTAAAACATTCTCGAAATACTTGATATAAATTTTAAGTACAATTAAATGAAATCAGGATAGTTTTTTTGTGGCCCGCTAAGAGAACCACCTGCTTCGGTCTGGGCACCCGAGCAGACTCCTAGCCCTCACAAAAATTGGATGATTTATGTGGCGCATATATATTGCGTGTCTTTTTGTACCAATGTTTATGTGTTTAAGTAAAAATAATAAATAAATAAATCAACCCATCGTTTCTCACTAATATTTTTGAAATAATAATCTTACTTGTGCAAATATGCATAGTGGCTAGCAATGGAATCCAGGATGCGCATTTTCTCCTATTTGGGACTCGTCAGCTTGGTGTACCTGAACCCGAGTTGATGTTCACTCTGGGACTCGAACGCAGTACCGTTCGCTCCAAACGTCATCGCGTTATCCATTTAGCTACTGAGTCCTGGGTACTAGGATTACGGTACTGGGTTCGGGTTCCAGAGTGACCATCAACGCTAAAATGCAGGTACATCCGACTGACGAGTCCAAAATAGGAGGAGATGTGCATCCTGGATTCCACTGCTAGCCACTATCCATCTTTGCTTAGAAAGCTTGTGACTTAAGGCTTTATCGAGGCAATCCTTACAGGATGCGCCTATGCCAACATGAGACTGATCAATTGCAGTCCTAACTAACAATGAGAAGATACAAGTAAAACAACATCAAGTCAATAATCTTGTGTTTTAAAATGACAAATTTAAATAAGTACTATGATTTAAACCAATTGCTTTGTTCGGTATATTTTTTCCTAATTATCTATATAATAATTTTTCTGATGGCTAATTTATTATCAATGTTGTAATATATACTCTGAAGAACTGACTTACATTAAGTCACGAAACATCAGAAACATAATTTTTCTATTCATTAGGATATAAAAAATTTATTTACTGTCAAATTTCTCCTCAAAACTCTCTAGTCCAACCTTGGTACTGATACTGTGGTGTGTGCTACTTATAGAAATAAGTAGTATATGATGTTAGTCGTGAACAGAAGGTCTGGCAGCAGAGACAAGAGGATCGAACAGTGAAGAATGGAAACAGGATGCGATTTGTATGAAAATGCAAGAACAATGAAGTCTGAGTCATTGTGAGACAATTGATGGACATTTTGCAAATTAAGTATTTACTTTATGATTGTTAGATTTTATTAACAAGTCTTATAATTTTGTGTTAGATACATTCGATTGTCCCCACCCGTGTTTTGTTCACTACAACACCTATAAAGTTGTATTTTATTTTCGTTTCTTTGTAAATATGTATTTTTGAAGTTAAAGCTTCTTTTTAAATACAAAACAACTTAGTGAAATCAGTGGTTAGAAATAATTTTGTTCTCACGGTATACAACCATCTTTTTACATTTTAGATAAATGGAAATCACTTAACTATTTCCAAAAATTAGTCTGAGAATATCAAATTTCTAGTTTTAATATTATCTTATAGTATTTAGGTTTTGTTTGATAATTTATTTCCTAATCTTTATTCTCTTGTGTTGTTTATGAGGAGTTTAATAATTGGTGGATTTCATGGTAGTATATATCATTAGAAACGTATCAAAAAAGTGCATTCATTTAGTGAATGACATTCACTTGACAGCTGTTTATTGCATCAACATCCATAGCAACCTGCTATTTAAAATAACTGTTTCAGCTAGTATACAACCAACGTCAGGGAAATCTGCTCATTACCATCTTGCGGCGAGGATGTTGTTCACGTAATTGAAAGGATAAAATGCAGATGTCCAGTGTTTTAGCCGGGTTGATGGATATGGAGGATCCACCTAGTGGAATTGAAAAATCTCAATTCCAAGTCAATGGTGCACATGGGCTCCAGGATTCTGAGGGAACAAATGATATGTGAACCTATTATTGATCACCGACTACCATGGGACTGCATCTCCTTACGTTTCTCTACTGCCTTATGAATTAGACCTCTAGACCAAAAGATTGGGGAATTGTTCACTTAAAAAAAACTACCCACTTCTGCTTTCGAACCATATTCTAACCCACACACAAATCAAATGATGAAGTATGTCGTATATTATATTTGGTGCTTCTTTGTACCAATGTTTATGATAATTAAATAAATAAATATCATCCCGTCATATCAAGTAGAATATCTGTTTTTCATTTAAGGATGACAAAAATTATAAACATTGATCTTCAAAAATAAATAAATAAATAGGTGATTTAAAGAAGCTGTTCCTAATCGAATTGCCAATAAAGTTTATCTGTAGTTACCAATCGACATTTTGTCCACTAACTAGTATATACATGTATGTATATACCAGTCATATTACATATTCCTTAAAAAAAAATAAATTATAGTTTTTATTAAATATAAACTATAAAACTGCTTTATCTATGATAAGTTGTCGTGTGACTTTAATAAATTACCTAATTTCAACAAACTCAGTCAGTCAGTAACAACGTAGAACTTCGTACGTACGTACATCAGTTGCCACACCACATTAGCACAGAGATGCAGTGGTCGATTCGAATCCCGTAGTGGTAGAGGTAGCAAGAGTATAAGCAGTAATCGGGAAGATTAGGGTTTGGAGATGTTACTTAAAGAGT